TGTACATCAGTCATTCCAGGCTGCTTGCTTTGCCATTCTGATTGCTGGATTTTTTTGTCTCAGAAGTCTTACTGTAGTATCAAACCTGTGGTCAGTGGACCTTACTGGTGGTCAGCGATGCACTTTCCAGTGAAGAGAGCGGACTATCATGTTGTGCTAGTTCTCTTCCTTGCTTCCAGTTGCTAAATTGCACTTTTAAAAAAAAAGCTAAAAATTCATCAAATTTGGTCTCATTATCACCTTTTCACATACGCAATTGTGGTCATTGCCACATCGATCTTGAACAACAACAAATGGGACTGGAGGGGATATGAGCAGTCCCAAATGGGAGGGAAAAGGATTCCACCAAACAATCTCATGTTTAAAGACAGAGTGCCCCCATTCTAAACAACGCTACATTAAGATTAAAGTAGGGGGTTATATTTAATGCTTCCTGCGATGTGTGTCTCTTTTTGCAAATAAGAACCAGCTCTTGCATTTGTGAAACTCCCACTGAAGTCAGTAACACTTTTGGAGATTGTAAGTGTTGACCCTAAATGTAAATCACCTCCACTCCAATTTTCTAGGCAATATTCAGCACTTCTTCCTGATGCTTCCAAAGAGCCTACTCCAGCATTGTGCATCTGTAATAATCTGCCCCCAACATGAAACTGGTTGAGGCTCTGCTATGGCAGAGAGGTGCAAGAACTCAAATTAGATGCAGGAACGTGTTGCTAGAAGCACACTGCTACAGTTACAGAGGTAGCTGCGCCTGTTGCCTCCCGGGTCTCTTTGAGTGGTGCCAGGCCTTGGCCTTTACCTATTCAGGATGGAATTTTGCAGTTCTCTCACTCTTAGTCTCACCCTTGGCTACAGTAGCCTGTGTATCAGCTGTGCTTATCCAGCAGGTCTAACTTGTTCAACATCTGTGATCTTTTTCCCCCTTTGGGAGTCTGTGACCAGTGATGTACAGTGATCAAAGCAGCTTTCTTAAAACCAAAGTATTAGTTGCTTTAGCAGGGAGAACAAAGCATTAAAGAAAAAGGTTTTTAAAACAGTCTACACATGGCTGTGCTTTACTATCACCTGATGGTGACCTAGGCAGTTCTAACTTTTTCAGATGCCCCATCAGGTCCCCAGTGCCTCAGTCCGGGTCCCCCAAACAATTTACACCTCTCTCGGGAGAAGTTTACTCCTTTTAAACTGGCAGAATTCTTTTGTCCTTCTGTGTTCAGAGGACTTTTCCTGCCCCGGTCCAAATCAGTTTTGTAGGTTGGAGATGAAGCAAAATTAAGCAAAGGTAGTATCTCTGGCGTTGTCCCTTCATGACTCCTAAGTGTTTGTTGAGCCATTTTCTTTCCTTCCTGTTTTTTTCAGACAGACTTCTGATGTTAACATAATATAGTCAGACAAAAAATACCCCAAGAACCAGCAACATACAATATTCATAAATAATTACAGAGCAGGTCCAAATCCATCACCCACAAAATGTGATAGTATGTGTCCCACTCCCAACTGTTTTTGTCAGTTACGAGAACTGAGGTTATGGCATACTTGTATATCTCCTCAATTTGATCATGGCTTAAGGGTTATCAAATTCTTTACTGACTTTATAGATATAGAAAGCAGAAGTTTCCAGTACATACCAATATTTACTTTGTAAGAGGAGATGGCAAAGGGTGGCTTTTATCAGTGTGCATCTCTTTAAAAAGAAATCTTTTAACTACATGACAAACATTAAAACAGTATTTTAAATGAAAATCCTGTAAAAATCTTTACGTTTCAATGATTATTTCCCTAGATTTTTCCTCATTGGTCGGACTTCAAACCTCCTAGTGCAAGGAGGTGCTTGTGATGCACAGAGGATTCATCCTAGGGTTGTAGGGGACAGGTAGTGTTTTCATAGTTGTTTGTTTGATCCACCTAGGAAGGTAGCTTTAGCTTCTATCAGAGGCTCCATACAAGCCCCGTAGATAAAGAATGCACTAATCCAGTGTATCATCCGGCTGCACTCCCCCTCCCCAGCCAGATTTACCCTCTTCTATGGATTTCCAGCATTCGTTGTATCCTCTGTTCCCCACGGTAGACTTTCTGTCACTGGCAGCCCTTGTTTGCACTGTATAAACTAGGGGTGAATTTAGATTGTACACGTCTCACTTGGAAAAATGGCTGAAGGCTTGTCTGCATGGGGAAATAGCCAATCTGCACAAACTCCCCAGGTAGATGCTCTTATTCTGGACACTAAGAGGGTCTTTTTCTGATTTAGCTTAATCCAGCGGTTCTCAAACTTCATTGCACCGCGACCCCCTTCTGACAACTAAAATTACTACCTGACCCCAGGAGGGTGGGGGACTGAGGCATGAGCCCACTCGAGCCCCGCCACCCCAGGTGGGGGGCCCAAGCCCAAGGCTTCACCCCCAGGCAGGGGGCCTGTAAACTGAGCCCCGCTGCCCAGGACTAAAGCCGAAGCCTGAGCCCTGCCACCCAGGGCTTTAGCCCTCGGGCTTCGGCCCCAGACCCCAGCAAGTCTAACACCAGCCCTGGAGACCCACAGTTTGAGAACCCCTGGCTTAATCCATTTTGGAAGGGGATTAAGCTAAACCACAAAACAGCATTAGTGCAAAATAAGAGTGTCCAGAAGGAAAGTTGTAGCAGAATAGCTATTGTGCTTTAAATTCAATACTAGCTTATTTTGTAATTGGCTTCCCCGTGTAGACAAGCCCTGAATCTGTGTGATTTGGTTCTCTCTATTTCTGGAGTCTTTTTGTGTACTGTTACTTACAGAGTTCATGATCCCAGCAATTTCTTTTAAAATTGAGAAAGAGGGCTTGCAGGCTGGATAGCTCAGTGCTAATGGAATATGGAACATTTCACCTTGATGAGGCCACTGATTTCAGTCTGGTCTAGGCTGATGGTGAACAAAAGCTACTAACAGCTAGTAATCTGCTGGATTTTGTGAAATGAGTTGGTGGGCTCAGCCTCGTTCCTAGGGCAACAGCTGTGCATATGAGAAAATCACCACATCTATTGGCAATGATGGACACGTTGGTTGGGAATCTCAGCAAAGGCATACCAATAACTTAATAGGCATGGAGACTGAACTACTGCAGTCACAGGGCCTAGGCATGGTCCTTCTAGGTCAAGAGACATTGGCCCCTTCCTCATCCCCTACTCCTTCTGAGTAAAAAAAACCACATGGGTTATATTGGCTGGATAAAGCCCCATATTGTGTTCTTTTTGCAAGATTACAATTTTTGATGTTCACCGCCAAAATAAAAGTAGGGTCCACAGCAGGCATATCAATCCAAACTATTCCAAATGGTCATTATCTTCTGCCTTCTATTTGAAGAGTAAATTAAATAACAAGAGATGATGCAACTAGTTTTCCAGATCTTATTTGATTTGACAAAGCAGTTAGCAGTTTCCATCTGCACAGTATAATCATTAACTTTTTGTTTCCCTGGTAATGTACATCCTGTTTTTTATGGGTGACCTTACTGATGGATTCGTTTTTTAAAAGGAACGTGGTTTTATTGATGTTCTTTTAGGATGAGGTATGTATGAAATTATTCAGCTCATTAAATATGCTTTCCAAGAATCCTATACGATTCATGGTCTTCAATCGTGCTATCACTTATGCACCTGCTTAACTTTACTATGAGCAAAATGATTTTGTATTTACTTTTTATTAGAGTAAGGTTCTAGCATGTGTGCTTTCTGAAATACAAGGAACAGCTTTCTATAGACAAAGGTGAATACATTCAATAAAAAAGGATGATCAAAAAGATATATAGAGAATAAAAAAATTAACTAAAGATTTGTCATATGCTATGTCCCTCCCAGTGCCTGTATTTAGTCTACTTATGCCTTTATCCTGCAGATACACATGAGCTGTCCCATTTCACTCCATGGGATGAAACATGCATTTGTTACCCAGGTGTTTGCAGTATTAGGCCCTAAAGTCCATATTTTAAAGGTATTTAGGAACTGCTCTGCTCAGCTCAGCCTTGCAAGATCTAAGTGATTTAGGAGGTTACGGTTTGGTCTACATTTGAAAGTTATGTCTGCAGAGGTGTGGAAAAAATGCATTCTTATTGACTGTAGCTATTCTGCCATAACCTCCATTGCAGACACAGCTATGTCGATCGCAGAATTCTTCTATCAATGTAGCTATAGCTAATATCGTTGAGGGAGGTGGTGTCCTTACCCCAACTGGAAAAATCCTTTTATCAATGTAGGCTGTCTGCCCTATGAGGCTGTGCCAACATAGCAATGCATGTATAATTTCTATAGTCTAGACATATACCAAGTCTCATTTTTGAAAGGGGACTTAGGAGCTAAAGTTCCATTGACAGTGAGGTTAACGTGTGAATTGGTCTGCCCACAGAGCCTACTGCGGGATCAGGGCCTTAGGCTGGGAGTTCTTTGGGACAGGGAATCTGTCTTCTCCAACTGTAATGCATCTGGCAAACTTTCCAGTGTGGTAGGAGTGTGCAATAATGGAAAATGGATGATTTACTTTTAAAAAATGGTTCTCCCTCATTTGAGGACAGTGACGTATACGCCCTTCTATGTCCCTGCATTTGTAGGGGTGTCTCTGTGTCTTTCTCCTTTTCCATAGTGGTCAGTGTCCTGGAGTGGTGCGACATGTCTGTGTCCCTGTGTCCTCCCCCGTTCTCATCTGTCTGTCCCCTTCCATTAGGCTTAGGGTTACCAATTTAGGTTGGACGTCTTCCTTGAAGGTTTGTTCACAGGACATAATCTTTAAGGACAGATTTAATATTAATTGCTGGAGACTCCAGGGCAATCCTGGAGGGCTGGCAACTCTCCTAGGCTCTGGGTGTCTGTCCCTCTCATTGTCTGAGTCTCCCTCTTGGTCTGTCCCTCCCTCCCCCCCATCCCTGCCCGCCCTTGTCTGTCTCTCCCCTTGTCCGTGTGTCTGTCCCGCTCCTTCTGCGAGTCCCGCTGGCTGCTCCCTCCCCTCCCCGTCCGTGGGTCCCGGCCGGCCGGCGCGGCGCCCCCTGCTGCCCGGCGCGGGGGTGGCAGGCCGGGGACGGGAGGCCCTGACAGCCTCGGCCGGCGGGAGGAAGCGCAGGGCGATGGCGCTGAGCCCCCCCGAGAGCCAGCCGGGCCCGGAGCCCCCGCACCCGCCGCCCGCGCAGGAGGGCGACGAGGACCCGGTGCCCATCAACCAACAGCAGCTGCGCAGCCTGGAGCCCGAGCCGGGCGGGATCCCGCTGCACTCGCCATGGACCTTCTGGCTGGACAAGTGAGTGCGGGGCTGCGCCCGGGGCCCAGGGACCCTCCGCGATACCCCCTGGGCACGCCCCCCCCGCCCGGCCCCGGGCCCAGGGACCCTCCGCGACTACCCCCCCCCCGCCGCGGGACCGCCCGCCTGACCCCCCCCGGGCCCTGAGACCCTCCGCGATACTCCCCCACCC